TGCCGTCATCTCCCGCCTCCCTTCCGCTACCCTCGTTGTCATCTACCTCTTGGGTCCTCTCCGTCCCCTCATCCTTGCCACCCACCCACCTCTATCGCAGCTGCAGGGACAACGGAACGCCTGGAGGCCACTGTGAACAGCAACCGGTGCAAGGACAAGAGAGATCCCGGTACCACAGCCAGATACAAACATGGACATCCTGAAAACAGCAGCCACAACATGAAGGAAGAAGCCCAGAGCAGGGGTGTGACCTGTACCCGACACCACGAAAGACAGCAGAAGATCGTGAAATGGAGCAATGTCGCCGTGGAGGAAGGAAGACAGGGGGAGCAGGTTAACCACCTGCCGCCGTTCCGGACAGACACAAATCAAGCCCCGGCCCAAGTGCTTAGCTAGGATGAGAAATTGCCCTGAAAGATAATGCCCGGGCCCGGTGCCTCTACTTGCTTTCACTCGATTGCTTACCACTACTTGCAATTAAAATGACAGAAATGGGGCTGGGGGTTCAGGGGTTTAGGCGATAACCCCCAGTACCCCCGCATGCCAAAGTAACAGGAGGGTTCACGACAGATCAAGCGCTCAGCGGATGAGTGAAGAGGTACAGAAGGCTCAACTGCTCACAGAAGAGAACTAACAATGTCTAACATTGTTTAACAATCTCGTGTTCCAAAGGGTGGGGGTAGGGGAACGGGAGGTTTGCTTGCCTACATGCACTGGGGCTCATTCATAGGCGATAGTTCCTGGCTCCACGATTGAAAGAGGATAGCAGCCATGGGACTCGGGTATACTGCTGCCTAAACTAAAGCTGTCATGTAGGTAACCAATGTAGGCTACTGACTAGTTGTGCAGCCCCACTTGCCAAACTTACTTCCTAGAGGATGGGCCATGCAGCCACCAGTCACCACAATCAGATGTCTGTATAAACAACCAAGCATGATGTTCAGGGACGCTGGACGCGGTTTCCAGCAGGTGCTGCTCCCCACCAATAGATGGAGCCTTCCCGAGAGTGAAAAAAAAAAATCAAACAAACAAACAAACAAACAAACAAACAAACCCAATGAAGATCTCTGCCAACACAGCCATATCCATCCAAACCGGATCTCTCTTCCAGGCCTCATGCCCCCAATAGGCTGGATTACAAGGTTGTGCCACCTTTCCCCGACTCCAGCCAGCGTCGCTCCGGCTTTGAGCTTCCATTGGCCATTGCGACTGGCCCCCCTATCCAGTCCCCCAGATCTCTCCACAAAGGCTAGGTTACAGGGTCGTACCACCTCACCCCAGCTCCAGCCAGCGTTGCTCTGGCATCGCCCATTCGTGAGTCACTGTATAAGACTACTTCAACAGAGTCACCGATGGACTGCTGGACATCCCCCAATCCTAAACTGACTTAGTTTGTATCTTCGATCACTCAGAAGGGTCTGCAAAACTTTACAGAACATATACCACCGAAACTACCCAACATCTGCATTCCTTCCACGACAAAATAGGAACAGGGAGAGGAAACCAGCCCCTTTCACCGCAGAAGAATACCCTCTCCAGCAACTAGTCTACAATCATTAGATAAGGAGACTTAAATGCACAACCGTTAAGATCGCTCCCTTCCCCCCGAGGAAAATCATCCCCCTCGCCGTACAACTGCCCCCATCGAGAGTCAAGCCCCTTCTTCTCATCGGCCCCAGTTCGGGGCAAGCCCCCTAAACGGTCACTCCCACTCCCTCAAGGGTATACAGCTCGTACCAAAAGTATACCCCCGCGGAGCAGGAGTCCCCCCTCCTCCTCCTTTTAGACTTCTTGTGCTCCCCTCCTCCTCCTTTTAGACTTATCTTGTGCTCCCCTCCTCCTCCTTTTCGGCTTATCTGTCCCTTTGGTGCCGAGGAATGTCTCCCAATCTTAGCCTGTTCTTCCATCGTTTGCAGCTTTTGCTTGTCCTCCTTGATTTGTTGTTCATTTATGATAGCCTTCATTTTGTGCCAGACCCCTTTCTCCTCCTCATTTTTGGCCCCGTCTTTCTCCACCTACTATCATGGGTTAAACCTCTGGCTTGACCGTGGGTGGTCCTGACGGCGTCCAGATCCAATGTGGGGTTTCGAGGTTGTCATTAAAAAATCCACCCTCTATACTTACTCCTGTCGGTTCAGGTGCATTTGATTTGCAGGTTGCTTTCTGCCTGCTGTTCGGTTAGCTGGGCAGCTCGGATCTTCCCCAAGTGCCCCCTTCCTCCGCAACAAAAGCATGCAGGGTTGGTCTTCGTTGATATGAAGACCATGGCCCACTATCCGCTTTTCCGGAACAGGCATACTTCAGGGAATGATGGCGGCTCCCCTGATGGGACACTCAGGCATGCAATGCGTGAATCGTGATTCAGGGTTAGGAAATCCGGGCCAGCTTTGAGCCAGGCCACGAGTTATTGGGGTATTCCGACTCCAGATGCGTGTGTAATACTGTGTATCGTGCAGTGCAAACCTTCGGAAAGATTGTCAAACAGGACCCAAACATGGCTTCCAAGCATGTTTTGATGATGCCTAGTCGCTTCTCCCTTGGG